TAGAAAACTCCAAAAAAAGGCCTCTGGCTAATTTATTAACGGCACTGGGAATCCCCCTCCTTAGTTCAGTTAAAACCCAAAAATTAACCAAATTTTATCCGGATTTATCTAGTTTTCTTACAGCGGTAAAAAATGAAGAATGAGAAAAATTTAGGGAGATTTTGGGAGAAGAGACCCAAAAAGAATTAAAAAAATATTTTTCAGAACCCAAAAATTTGTTTTTGTTGGAAGAAATGAAATTGATTCGCGAATTGCCCCAGACCTAATTTATACTTTCGTGTTTTGATATTGAGAGTCGGGAGTATTGATTTTAGCATAATATACAAAATTAATCTCTAAAAACGCAATTCTTCCCCTTTCCCCACTTTTTAAAAAATCTCAGATTAGCGGTTATTATTAATGCGTATTAACGCTTTCTTTTTTTCCTAATTTTCTCCAGTCAACAGGTTAAAAATGTAGCATTTAAAATTAGCAAAAATAACCAAAATCATCAGGGAATCAAATTTTTATTGACCTTATCTGAGTCGGTCGCAAGTTCTTGATTATAACTTTTAGTGGACTTATTTTTGATTAATTGTTGAATAGCCGTAATTACCCGGTCATAGTTGATGGGTGGACTTAAATCCAAGGACAAATCAGAATTAATTCGGCTCAATAATTCTTTTTCATTGATGCTCTCACCTTGGCTAATTTTTTGGTTCAGGGTCATTATTTGGTTCTGCAATTCATTGACTAATTGAGGGTCAGCGGGAGATTTATTTTCAGTTGGTTGCGAGCCGGATTTTTCTTGAGGGTTATCGTTTCTAGCCGGATCGTTTTGGTTTTTAAGTTTCTGGTTCTCGGCTGCCAATCGATCGCACTCGGTTTCGGCTTGCCGCAGACGACTTTTTAGACTATCGTAATCACTATGCTGGGGATTCAAACAGTTCGGGGGGTTATTGAAAAAATTAATCAGAGTTGCCAAAGGAGCCGGCACTGATGGCAAATTATTTAAATCACTTATTTTTAATTCTTCTTTCAAGTATTTTTCGTAGGTTCTTATAGTATTATTGGCTGCTGACAACAGTCCAACTAAATTATTGGTTTGTCGGCTCAATTTATCCCGGAGTGATTTAGTGGTTTTTTTAGTAGACTCGTTTTTCTTACTTCTCTATCTCGTTCCTGTTGAGTAGTGTCGCATTCAGTCGTTTTTTGGTCGATAGTTTGGCGAAATTGTTGATTTTCATTTTGTAGATCAGCCAGGCTTCGCAGAGTATTATTTTTTAGTGTTTCGGCTTGTCGTTTTTGATTAAACAATTCCCTATTTTGGGTCCGCAAATCGTTCAGTTCTCGTTCTTTTTGCTCCTTGGTCGAGGATAATTCCTCTTTTTGTTGGGTTAATTCCGCAATTCGAGCAAGATAATTGTCAACATCCGCTTGCAACTTCTCTAAATCCTGGCTTAATTTTTGGTTAGCAGTTTGCTCGGTTTGGAGGTCATTTTTAGTTTGCTGATAATTTTTTAAAGCCGTTTCTAATTGGTGGTGTAAATCAGTGTTTAGGCGGATTAATATTTCATTTTCCTGCTCCCGTT